CCATAGTTAAAAATCTGGCTGTTGCCACTGTAATCTCAGGATTTTCATCTGCAAGTAAAATGTTTACATACTCAGAAGTATCCCTTCCTGGTTTAAAATAGGCCAGATAACTTCGTGCCGGACTCTTGTACAATTCACAATACAATAAAATATGATCCACTGTTTCAGGATCAGTATCATTACAGAGACAAAGGTAGCAAAATGCTGTGCAAATTGGTTGCAGCAGCCAGGCAAGAAATCTTGACAGTGACTTCTAATAGAAGAGAGCTGGTTGCTTTACACCAGCAATTCTCAAACATTTTGATCTCAGAACCCCTTTATATTCTTAAAAATTATTTGTTTATCTGGCTTATATCTATTAATATTTACTGCATTAGAAATTAAAACTGGGACATTTTAAAATATTTATTTATTTGACTTCGCAGACCCCCTGAAAGAGTCTCGGGAACCCCTAGGGTCCTTGGACCATGCCTCAAGAAGCAGTGCTTTAAACAATGGCAGTAAACTAGACAGCAGCCCACCAAAACAATAAACAAATAACATTTCCTCTCTTATTGCCTCAGTGTAAACCCAGAAATGGGTATGAAACCATGCTCAGTCAGATTCACTTTTTGTTTACTAAAGATCTCTGGGAAAAGAAATGACAGAAGTGATGCCTTGAGCACTGGTAGGCAAAAGATTGCTTATGGAGATGTTAAAAATATGTTGGCGGGGATGTGAACATATGTGTATGTGTGCAGATAATGCTTTTTTGTCAGTGGAGAACCCAAATTATTTGCAGTAAATGTTTAGGCACAATGGTACAAAGAGATGTTTAGGTAAATGGTACAAAGAGAACTACATATCTGAAGAATAATATACCAAAGACCAAGATAGTTTTGTTTGACAGGATAAATGAAGCAGTCACAAGCCGTACATGCAAGTAGATAAATTTGTATACTTTGGTAGAATGTTTACTAATTATAGGAAAATGGATAGAGAAATCTTTAGATGCACAAATGCTGGTGGAAAGGCAGGGGCTAGTAAGTAGCCAGTTGCAAGGAAATTAATGTTTGTTGAAAGAAGCTAAAATGGCTGTATATAAGATATACTGCTAACTACTGTTATTTTGGAGTGAAAGTTATATTAGGAGAAATATAAAAGTAAGTTAAATGCAGGTGGAATGGGTACTTAAAAAGTGTGTGTTTATTTGTGTTGTGTGAAACTAGCCAACTATTTACTCAATAAATCATGGTCAAGCAAACTGTTGTTCTCAAAGTACAGCCAAAGTACATGTCATGATATTTTCTCCTTATTCTACGTATTAAATGCTATGGCAATATGAACATGCTATCATTAGCCCCACCCGGTGCTGTTCTCTATTGCTAAGGTCTATCCTAGATATTATTATTGTTGGTCACACAGTCAGCCAGTTATTTAAACTGGATTTGGCATTTTTATCCACCTATTGAGTCCTTCCCAAGGACCTGGGATAGGCAGATGTTGTTGTTTGACAGTGTTAAAGTTATCGTCACAGGATGTAAGCTGTTCCAAGTAACGCTGCCTTTTGCAATTGACTGATGGTAATTTTGTCAATGCTGATGGTCTTCAAGAGGTACTCCAGATGTTTCAGGATTGCACCCTATTACTATTGGTACTATA